TGTCAGAAATGAAAATATTGGTGAAAAATATTGGTCGTTTGTTTTCAAATGTTTTGCTGCTGTCTGTTTGGACCTTTCTGAACATGTGCAGCAAATGGACTGATCCAATATGGTGGACACTGAAGGGGGGGGCTGAGACACACTTAATATTATCAGCGTTCTGATGGCATTTTAGCCAAAGGATTTTTGTCAAAAACATAATTAATGTGCACAAATAAGGAATAGTTGTATTAACCATACATATAAACAGAGTTTTATGGGGCCCCTACAGGAACTTGGGGGCCCTCTGCAACTGCCTAGTATTGCCTGATGGTAAATCCCCCCTGTTTCTGAGTTGAACAGAAAAGTCTTGACCAGGAAATACAAAACAGGTTTAAATTAAAGCTGCTCTGCAGGAAAATGTGTCTTCTGACGTTTCTTGATTTCTTACCACCTCTTCTGCCGGCATCAAAGGTGCTGGGAAAGGTTTTGGTGTTGTAGCTTCAGAAGCATCAGTTGAACGATTTGACGGAGTAGAAATAAGAAAATAGGGAGAAAAAAAGCAATAGATGGGGAGTAGAGACATATAGATAAAGCTCTATCCTCTAAAGAAACCAAGGTGTAAGTGACTACTTACTTTACTATCAGAAAGCATTCATAAACTAGGGGAAACTGACAGGAAGTGGTCTGGCAGAACCAAAGCCACTTCTAAAGCAGAGGAGATTTCTGAGAACAAACATGACAACAGAAAATACAGCTGAACCATTTTTGTAGTTAGCAAGTCTGAGGTTCAGCTGAGAGGACAAAGCTCAGAGCTGCAGGTTTGGCAGGAAGACCTGCAGCAAGAAAGTGACTTTACCATTACAGAGATGTCAGAATGATGGAAACGTCTGCAACAGATCTGGGAAAACCTTTCTGAACAAGAAGGAAGTGTGTGTTCAGCTGTAGATCTGCCAAAGGCGGCGACTGAAGAGTCAAAAGTTTGAACACATTTTGGTTTATGAATCGATTCTTTAACCCCTGTTGCTTATTTCTAGCATGCTTTCATTTCAGAGTGAAACAAGACCTGAAACTGAAAACTGTGACAAACTGAAGTTGTTTCTAACTGGTTAAAAAAGAAAAGCAGCCTACTTTTATCACCTATTGTTGATTTTATGAACCCCTGTAGTTGTCACAATGTGACACCCAAGCAAAAAAAACAAAACAATCAAAAACAACAAACCTTGGATAAAATATAAAATCTTTATTATTAAAACAAAAACTATCACATGATTACAATATCCATCAGATTAGAATAAAACTACAGAGTTATCATTCTATCAATCTGACTGTAAAGTGCCTTTAGATGATGTGTGATGTGAGTTGCAGCTCTATAAATAAACTGAAATTAATTAAATGGAAAACAAAATTAAATAAATAATTCTGGTCTAATAGGAACTTATTGTTCTTTTAAATTTATAGGTAACAAAAATATCCCTAAATACGTCATGAATCAAAAAAACACAAGTAGGTCAGAAACATAAACTTGTAAAACGCATACAACTACATTTTTTGATTAAATTTTTCTGGTGGAAAAAAAAAGAAGA